AGGGAGGGAACGCATGAAAAGAGACAAATGTTAGTATATGTTACGAAACAGAGTCCATAAAGTTACAGAGTACCCTGCTCAACCACCACAAACACCACCTTCTCCGATTCAAATAGCACAGTGAAAGACGCCATCTTTGTTCCAATATGCAAAACGCCATTACCTGATCCTCAAGTCATGCCCCCAGTTTCTCTCCCTCTGTTTTGAAGTTGCTGTCTGTTGAAATTTAAAAAATAACGTTGCTGCGCAGGCACAGAGCTGTTGCTGCTACGAAACAGAGAGAACAGATTGGTAACCAATATTTCAGATTCCGTATATGTTTATGCACAACTCAACAAAGACAGCCACCACTCTGTCCTTTCCGCATCCTCATATGAAAATCACCCGCCCATTATTTCAGTATGGCTTCACTCACCTCCATTCTTCACTCTCTGTTGCTTCTGGCCGCCGCCGCCCAAGATGGCCCCGTATGGACTCTGCTACCCCCATCACCATCGCCCACCGCCAGAAAGACAAGCTCGTCGTCATCATGGGTGCCACCGGGAGTGGAAAGTCCCGCCTTTCCCTTGACCTGGCCAACGCCTACTTTCCCCACTCTCAAGTAATTAACTCTGATAAAATGCAAGTTTACAGAGGTCTCGATATCACTACCAATAAACTAAAACAGATTTGAAATCAAAGTTTCTCTCTCAAGGTGAGAAGAGAAAGAGAGTTTCTTTTATTTATAGTTGCATTAGACAGTAAATAGCATGATTTAAGGTATGATTACAATATAAATTTGCAATAGCTATATCTCCAACGGTTGCATTTTACAATTTCTTTGATTGCTAATTTTCCTCCAAAGCATTATTGCCATTTGATTTGTTTCCTTCTGCAGGTTCTACAAAATGATCCTCACAAGTTGAGACTTTATTACTCCCCCTCAAATTGGGTAGTGGCAGAGACACAAGACCCAATTTGCTGCGTAGTCGATGAAAGCTGTCTCGAGTCAATGGCTTTGTAAAGATGTCAGCTAATTGTGAGGTAGAACTGACAAACCGAGTAATAAGGTGACCAAGAGCAACTTTCTCTCTAACAAAATGATAATCAATTTCAACGTACTTGGTGCGGCTATGAAAGACTGGATTGACTGTCATATATATTGCACTCAAGTTGTCACAATGAAGAATAGGGGCATTGTTAAGAGCCACTCCAATGTCACGAAGAAGGTGTGCAAGCCAAGTGATTTCAGCAGTTGTTGAAGCCATAGATCGATACTCTGCTTTGGCACTCGAACGAGCCACTGTAGGTTGTTTCTTTGCACACCATGAAATGCAGTTGCTTCCCAAGAAGGTATAATAACCAGAGGTGGAACAGCGGGTCAAAGGACACCCAGCCCAATCAGCATCTGAAAAGGCATACAAGTCTAAGGAACTGTGGTTAAGAATTTGTAAGCCATAATTGAGAGTCCCATGTACATACCTTAATATCTGCTTGACGGTTTGGTAATTTCCAATTGTAGGACAATTCATGAACTAGCAAACATAATTGACTATAAATGAGAGATCTGGTCGAGTAAATGTGAAGTATTGAAGTGCCCCAACAGTACTCCTATAATGAGTTGGATCATGAAATGCATCATTGCTAGAATGTGAAGAATGTGCTTTAAGCGCCATAGGAGTGGAGATCGAGTTGCAATCCTCCATTTGAGCTCTAGATAAAATGTCTAGTGCATATTTGGATTGAGATAGAATCAAACCAAAGCTTGTGTAATGAACTTCTATGCCAAGAAAGAAATTGAGACGACCAAGATCTTTAATAGCAAATTCTTGACCAAGCTGAGAGATAAACAGCTTAAGAAATTCAGAGTTATCTCCTGTTAAAATCATATCATCCACATAAATAAGAAGAAGTAAAGTCCCCTTATTTGAATGACAAATGAAGAGAGAGGGGTCTGCTGTGCTGCAAAAAAAACCCAATGTGAAAAAGGAATTTGCTAAGTCTATCAAACCAAGCACGTGGTGCTTGTTTCAACTCATATAAAGCACGTTTTAATCGACAAACATGAGTTGGGAATTTGGGATCCAAAAACCCAGGTGGTTGCTCCATATATACTGGCTCATTGAGATATCCATGTAGAAAAGCGTTCTTCACGTCCAGTTGTCGAATTTGCCATTGTTTGGTTGTTGCAATTGCTAATATGGTATGAATGGTCCTAGCTTTCACCACAGGGGAAAATGTTTCAGAGAAATCAACATCGGCTATTTGATGAAATCCTTTGGCAACAAGACGCGCCTTGAGGCGCTCTAGACTCCCATCAGCATGTAATTTTGTTTTGAACACCCATTTAGATCCAACCACATTCATATCTTTCATACGAGGCACGAGGTCCCAAGTATCATTTTTTGCAAGTGCTTCTAATTCTTCATGCATTGCAATGGTCCATCCTTGATGTTTAAGTGCTGACCGAACTGACTTGGGCTCTATTGGAATGCTTGAAATTTTATGCAATATATGTAAATTTGCATAACGAGGATTTGGTTTAAGGATACCTTTTTGTGATCGGGTGACCATTTGGTATTGCCGTGTGTTTGCTGCCTGGACCGATAATGGGTTAACTATCTCAACTGATGTAGGAGAGTGATTTTCTTCATTTGTAGTGTTTGCATCCACTCCACTGTTTGTTGGCAGATTTTGCATCAAATTTCCATTTTCATGGCCATCATTAATTTGCACCAAGTCATCATTTTGATGATGATTATCAATGGATCGGATGGAATTAACTAGATGTGAATCAAGTTCTTCATTTGGCTGATGATCATTAATTTCGATAGCTTGTGCCCTCGAGTCAAGAATTTCTCTTGAGTCATTAAGATTGGATTCTTCACTGCAATCTAATTTCCCTTGTTCTATGGTCGGTGCAACACATGGAATAGAGCAACTCTGCTTTTCACCATCACCTGCAGTACTTAAAGAGTTTTCGTCAGCAGTTATCCAAGGATGGAATGTTGTTACCTCAGTTTCAACATCCGGAGTTGCATAAAGCAAGGTCAGATTTGTGAATGGCAGGCATGATTCATCAAAGACCACATGTCGAGATATGTATATTCGGTTTGTTGGAGGATATAAGCACTTATACCCTTTGTGCTTGGTACTGTATCCAATAAAAATGCAAGGCAATGACTTTGGCTCCAATTTATTCTTCTTGTAATCACCTAAGTAAGGAAAACATTTGCAACCTAAAACTTGCGAGGAGTTATAGTTAGGATGTTTGCCATAGAGCCTGAAAAAAGGAGAATCCATATTTAATTGTTGTGAAGGTAAACGATTTATAAGAAATACAGCTGTAGAAAAACAATGAACCCAAAGTCGAGCAGGGAGTTTTGCATGGAACATCATTGTTATTCCCAACTCTGTGATACTTCAATGCTTTCTCTCAGCAACTCCATTTTGTTGTGGAGTTTTTGGACATGCTGATTGATGTCGAATCCCTGAATCATCCAAAAGTTGCAACAATCTTTTATCTGCAAATTCACCCCCTTCGGCAGTTTGAAGAATTTTAATTCGTTTATTAAATTGGCACTCAATAAATTTTTGAAAGTGCACAAAGCAAGCAAAGAAATCTGACTTTCTTTTAATAGGATAAAACCATGTAAATCTAGAAAAACCATCTACAAAAATTACGTAATATTGATGATTTTTAGGGGACTTTGTTGGAGCAGGGCCCCAAAGATCACAATGAATTTTTATAAAGGGCTTATCACATTCATCATCAACTTGAAGAAAAGGAAGTCTACAAGATTTACCCATTTGGCAACTATCACAAATAGAGTTAGAGTTTGAATCTAAAGTGAAATCAATAAACTTTTGCTTAAAAAGAAAATTTATAACACGATAGTTTGGATGGCCAAGCCTTTGATGCCACCCTTCTTTATTTGTTCTTCTAAACCGAGTGGAGAAAAGTGCCCTATGTTCTTCCTCCAAAGCATCCTCTAAAGCATATAGATCTCTAGCCTTTTTTCCAAAAGCAATTACCTTGTTGGTTCGCTTGTCCCTAATAGAAAAGCCATTTGAGTCAAATATGAAAATATATGGCATATCAGTAGTAAGTTGACTAAATGAAATTAAATTTTTTTTAATATCAGGAACAAGTAAGACATTTTTCAATGGAATTGAGTTGTCACCAAAGGCAATGTTAGAATCACCAATATAAGTAATATTTAGTACTTCACCATTACCAACCATAACAGCATCTTGGCCATGATAAGGTTTTAAGTTATTTAGCTTACTAGAATTTCCTGTCATATGGACAAATGCACCTGTGCCTGGATGCCATTCAAGCTCTTGATTATCATCAATGGTGATGGTTGCCAATGCCTTTGGAATGTCATCTTCTTGATATGAGTGATTAAATCTGTTGAAGCACTTCATAGCAATATGATTGAGCTTTCCACAAATTTGGCATTTGACTGCACTCTCCATGATGGGATTTTGAGCTTCAGCCTTCTGTTTGTTGAAGTTGTTGGGCTGATTCCTCGTAAAGTTAGATCCGACATTCCTATTACCTGCATGAGAAAAGTAGTTTGCACTAGCACTATTATAACTGCTGTTAGTTCAATTGCCTTGAAAGAAACCTTTTCCTTTTAAGTTTGAATTTGTTGAAGCCATTTCCTTTCCTCTTGTTTTGGTTTCCATTGGTCCTTTGTCCGTAAAAGGCCACTTGAGGATGATTATAACTGTCAAACCCATGGATTTGGTTCCGAGTCTCATGACTTTTGAGAAGAGATACAACTTCTTGGTATGGTGGAACCGGAGGTTTCAACGTGGTTGTCACAAAGTTCTCATAGCCTTGGCCAAGTCCTTGTAACACTCAAAAGGCTTTGGTTTTGTCTGGTATTGGTTTCCCCATAGTAGCAAGTTCATCACAAATAGCCTTGAATTTTCTTAAATATTCAGTCAATGAATCGTTACCTTTTCGCAATGTGGTCATTGCTTGTGTCAAATTGAACTCTCTCTTTTGAGAGTCTTGGGCATAAGCTTCTTCTAAAGCATCCCAAACCTCACGAGATGTTGTGAGTCCCACAACGATTCCAAGCACTTCTTCAGAAAGAGTGCCAGTGATCCATCCACGTAGAAGGCGATCAGACCGCCTCCATGAGATACAAGTCGGGTTTGGTACCTCTTTGGGTCCCTCAGCATTAGTGCTGTCAGTTGGGGTGATTTTGGCTGCCGGCATGATATACTCTCCATCTAGGAATCCCTACATGTCTTGACTTTCAATTAAGGCGGCCATTTGAGTCCTCCATAATAGATAGTTGGTGGGAGTAAGTCTTAGGGAAACAAAGTTTGACACATTGAGGGTAGAAGGATATGGGTAGCTACTATTTTGAAATGGGGCCATTACAGATGGGAACAATAGAATAGGAATAAAATTGAAAGAAACTCTCTAATTCCTGACCGACAAGGCTCTGATACCATAAAACAGATTTGAAATCAAAGTTTCTCTCTCAAGGTGAGAAGAGAAAGAGAGTTTCTTCTATTTATAGTTGCATTATACAGTAAATAGCATGATTTAAGGTATGATTACAATATAAATTTGCAACAGTTATATCTCCAACGGTTGCATTTTACAATTTCTTTGATTGTTGATTTTCCTCCAAAGCATTATTGCCATTTGATTTGTTTCCTTCTGCAGGTTCTACAAAATGATCCTCACAAGTTGAGACTTTATTATAAACTTGCCCTCCATGAGCAGCTTGGCGTCCCCCACCACTTGCTCAGTGACTTCGACTCAATCGACATCGACTTCACCCCTTCTCAGTTTCGGTCCGCCGCTGGGTTAACCATTGCTAGCATTGTTTCCCGCGGAAACTTGACTCTGCTTGTTGGGGGCTCCAATTCTTTTGTCCACGCCCTGCTTGCGGAACGATTTTAGCCGGAAGTTGATGTGTTTTCTGGGTCGAGCTCGATGAGCCGGGAACTGAGGTATGATTGTTGTTTTCTATGGGTGGATGTGGCATTGCCGGTTCTGTGTGATTATCTGCGTAAGTGAGTAGATGACATGCTAGACTTGGGGATGTTTGAGGAGCTGGCTGGGTTTTACAACCCAGGAAAGGAAGGGTATCGTTTTGGGATAAGGAAAGCAATCGGAGTGCCGGATTTCGATCGGTATTTTCGCAAGTTTTCACCATGGGAGAAGGAAGAAAACGGGAGGGTTCCCGATGAAGAAAGTGATCCGGTGCGAAGGGAAGCATACGAGGAGGCTGTGAGGGAGATAAAGGACAACACGTGTCGACTGGCGATAAGGCAGATAGAGAAGCTTTCAAGGTTAAAAGGGGTAGGGTGGACACTACGGAAACTGGATGCTACAGCGTCGTTTAGAGCAGTGATGGCGTCGAGTTCAGATAAAGAAGAATGGAGGCAACGATGGGAAAGGGAAGTGGTGGAGCCAAGCGTGAAGATTGTGAAGTGTTTCTTGGAGGAGTAGGTTTTCCAACCGTTTCAGTTTGTTGGACAGTTTTCTGCCTCTCTTCCTCGACTAAAACCAACTTTTAGCCTCTCACCTTACAAAATTGGTAGGTTTTAGTCTCTAATCTTATAATATGACACTTTTAATCATTTATCTTACAAAATTGATAGATTTTAGCCTCTTACCTTATATTATGACACTTTTAGTTCTTTATCTATACGAATTGAAGAAAATAACATTTATAAGATAAGGAGATAAGAGTGTCATAATATAAGGTAAGAGGTTAAAATCTATTAATTTTGTAAGATAAAAGATTAAAAGTGTCATATTATAAGATTAGAGGCTAAAATCTACCAATTTTGTAAGGTAAGGGACTAAAAGTTGGTTTTAGCCGAGGAAGAGAGGCAGAAAATTGTCCAACAAACTGAAACGGCTGGAAAACCTACTCCTCCAAGAAACACTTCCCAATCTTCACGCTTGGCTCCACCACTTCCCTTTCCCATCGTTGCCTCCATTCTTGTTTATCTGAACCCGACGCCATCACTGCTCTAAACGACGCCGTAGCATCCAGTTTCCGTAGTTTCCACCCTGCCCCTTTTAACCTTGAAAGCTTCTCTATCTGCCTTATCGCCAGTCGACACGTGTTGTCCTTTATCTCCCTCACAGCCTCCTCGTATGCTTCCCTCCGCACCGGATCACTTTCTTCATCGGGAAC